AACTTTTTTTTTGGTACCAGGGATCGAACTTGGGGCCTTGTGCTTGTGAGGCAGGCAGCGGAACCACTGAGCTAAATCCCCACTCCTATTATAACACTTTTTAAAGAAGAGGGCCAGCAGCCCTCCAGTGGGCTATGGGTTGGACACACCTTCTATGTGGACTCTAACACTGCCTGTCCTTCCCAAGTCAGCCTGCCTGGAACACCCTTATCCTAGAGACCCCTCTATGCATGCGCTGGGTTTGTGTCACAAAACTCATGGCATGGCTAAGGTCAGGCTGCCTGTCTCTGAGGGGCAACCTGGTGCTCATCAGCATTATATGTAGAGAGAAGACCCTGTTGCTCATGTTTCTTTGCTTGTGAAAGTGTCTAGAGTTTTCTGAGCACCTCCAGAACCTCCCAGAAGCCCTGTGCGCCCCTGCCCAGTTATTTTGGCTGGTTCTGTGCAGTCACTCGTGCCACCTGCTGGCTGATGCTGGAAACACATCCTTAGTCCTGAGAAGAAATTTGCCCACCCTGACTGGCTAGGTCCTCTGTGGAGGGGACCCTCAAGCCTCTGCCTGCTTCCTGTACTGAGGCCAGTTTCCTAACAAGGCAGAGCTCATATGACTCCTGCTTGACTTCATATGTCTCTGTGAAGATTCTCAACCTGCCGTCCACTTCCCATTAGGAGCCCCTGGACTCTCTCCCTGTTTGACCTCAACCCTGTGAGGTCCGACAGGGCTCTCCTGGTCTTTCCACCACTGATGTCCCTCAACCCTAGCAGCCAAGGACATCTGTCTGACCTCGCCCAGCAGCTGGCACACACACCCTCTGCTCTGAGGCCTCCCCCTGCTGTCCTGAGTTGGGGAGCCCTGAGTTGGACAGCCGGGCTGTGCTCTCCTTACTCCAGTCCCAGCCTGGCCACTTGCCCTCATGTTCTCATGGCTGCTTATGGTCTGGATTCCTTGCCAGCACTCAGGATTGCCCCCTCCTGAAGGTTGTCCCAGCTCCCTGCCGACGTCCTATGCTGAGCACCCCTCAGCAGTGCACATGGGGTGGCAGCCAGTTTCTACCTTAGAGCACAGAGGACAGTTAGGGGCTCAGATCTCCTCTGCCCCTGCCTGGTGGCAGAACCTGCATGTTCCTGCAACCACCCCTCAGCCATGTGCACGGCAGCATCCCTGGTTCCTGGCGCTCTTATCCACAGATTCTCTGCCTGAGGGCAGAGCAGATCTCCACTCAGTCCGTGGCATGCTTCCAGGAGAGGCAGGAGCACTGTCACCTCTTCCTCTCTCCTCCTCAGTTTATTTCCCTGGGGGCTGGGCAAGGCTGGCTCTTCTGCCCACACCATCTGTCCATCTGACCCTGGGTCCCCCTGTTGAGCTGGGGTCACGACTCACCTGCTAGAGGCAGGAACTAGTTCATCGACACCTTGGCTTCTCATTCACTTGTCAGCAGGTTTGAGCCTGGGCAGGGGTGGGTCTCTGCCCAGCCGCTTGGCTCCCTCCATGCCTGACCACCCTGCAACCCTAGCACTAGCCAGCAGCCCTGCACTGCACCCTTCATGCGTGAAGGCTTTGTGTGGACAGGGAGGTGGAAGCTATGGCTTCTTGCTGTAGCTCTACTACTAACCTGCTCTGAGGTCCCAGTGTCCCTGGGCAGGAGCCCAGTTTCCCCATGGGTGACAGGAGGGACTGAATCAGAGACCCTAAGGCCCCTTTCCAGCACCAAAATTCTGGATTCTCTTCTCGAATTCACTTCATCCGTGCCCTCCGTCATGGGCCACCCCAGCCAAGTCCTGCTTCCCTACAAGGGCCCCACTGCAGATTCTATCAGCATCGGCCTCCCAAAGGTATGGCTCCACGTGGAACCCCCTGGGAGAGCTCCTTTTCTCTTATGAACTACAAAATGAAGGTCTCTGCACCCCACACTCTGCCTTCCACACAGCCATGTGCAAGATTTACCCAAGGGAGCAAGGTGCTCCCTCCACCTGCTCTCCACTGTCTTGTGAACTTTCCCTCTTCATATCAGACCCCGAAGAGTAATTTTTTAAAAGCTGGGTGGCTTCAGAAAAGGATTTGACCAGCTGGATATATGTCTAGGCATAGTCTTCCTCAAAGTCTTTTTTGAGGTGGGGTCAGGGGAGTGGTAACACAGGGTTTTGTTATATCTCAAATTTCTGATCTTCCTGCCTCAGCCTCCTGCATGCCGAGATTACATCCTGCATACACCACCACACCTGGCTTCACAGTCTTCTCTTTATAAACTTATGAGCTCTTCCTGAAAGTCCAGCATGAATCATCAGAGCCTTCCATCCCATGCCCTGGTGTCCTCTACCCCGTGTAGTGACTTCTGCTTCACCATGTTGGGATCCACCCCATAAATACCCCTGCAAGCTTTTCAGGCCTCAGGCTGTTTCTGTGCTGCCTGGCAGGGCCCACCTGTGTGCTCTGTGGTGCCTAATTGAAAAGGATTGAGGCCTGCCTGCATTTCTCAGCCCCTAACACCCTGTCCTTCGGGCAGGGGGCATCTGACATGTTGATCACAAAGTCACTGCTCTGCAAAGCCCCTGGGAGGGAGGCAGTGGTGGGGTGGGGTGGGGTGAAGGATCTCAAGAAATCCAGCAGCTCAGACACTGCTAAGTAAAGGCAGCACCAGGAGGGTTTGGTGACTTGCTGGATTCTGTCATTTCCCCTAGATGCACATGGGGGCTTCACTCTAGGCCTGTGTGAGCCAACACCCGAGAAGGGAGGCCAGGCTGTTCAGACATCTAACACACACACACACACACACACACACACACACACACACACACACACACTGCAGGATACATAGAGATGAAAGTGGCCCAGTCACAACCCTCAAGGGTCCTAAAGAATGACAAGATGTACCAGGGATTTAGCTCAGTGGTTCTGGTGCCTTCCTCACAAGCTCAAGGTCCCGAGTTTGATCCCCGGTACCAAAAAAAAAAAAAAATGACAAGAAGAGCACACTGACGACGGGACTAAGTCCCCAGCCCTGCCGTTTGTTTTTTGAGACAGGATCTGGCTTTTACTTCAGGCTGGCCTTGAACTCACTATCTAACCCAGACTGGCCTCAAACTCAAAGCAATCCTCCTGTCTCAGCCTCCTGAGTGCCGAGATTACATGTGTATGTCACCACACCTAGCTCCTGTACCTATGTGTGACTTTGAGAAGTTGCTTGATCTCCCTGAGCATTAGTTTTCTCATTACACATAGAAAATATCAGACTAGGGCCGGGGATTTAGCTCAGTGGTTCCGGCACCTGCCTCGAAAGTGCAAGGTCCCAAGTTCGATCTCTGGTACCAAAAAAAAAATCAGACTAGGTTAGTGGTTTCTAAACTTTTCCAGCCACATTCCCCTTTCTGTACGTGAGATCTTACCAGGACAGGACCCCGATAACGCATTTTCCAAGTGTCCTGGTTCAATGAGGTGCATACATGACCAGCCTTACCTTTCTTCCCACCACTGCCTTCAGACTTCTCTATCGAGGTCCCCTCACATTCCTTAATGCCACTTCAGGCAAGGCTATGTCACTTCCACTGTTAAAGTTTACCCAGCTGGGTGTGCTGGGTGTGCCCCTGTAATCCCTCCTATGTGAGAGGCCTTCCAAGGTAGGAGGTTCAAGAGTTTGAGGCCAATGTGGGCAACTTAGTGAGACCTTTAAAAATCAGTTTATGCAGTTTTTTCAGTCTGACCTCCGAGGTGGTGCGCACATCTTCCCCTGCCTCCGTTCTCCTCCTGCAGGTTTGGCCCATGCCCTTGAGGATGCACTACGAAGAGAATGGAGCTGGCTCTTTCCTGGCCCTTTGCTCTGCTTTCCTCCCCAGCCATCTCCTAGGCCTCACACAGTTGCTGGGGCAGGGAGGAGGGAACAGAGGAAAGAGCAGAGGCCCTTGACTGCCTGGGGTGGCTCTGATCCTCCTGGGCCGTCCATACCTGTGGCCCTTCATCATCCGGCAAGGTGGCTGGGAGACTTCCCGCTTCGTGCTCTGAGGTCTCCAGCAGCAGGGTGCTGAGGACAGTGCTGGGCCGTGGCCGGAGCAGGCCACCTGCCTTGGTGCTCATGGCCCCTCAGACACCCACCCATCCTTGCCCCGCCTGGCGGCTGCTGGCTGCCCCCTGGCACCCCTATCTGTCCCGCTGTTTTTATTCTGCTGCACCAGGCACAAGGGCAGGCCAGTGAGGCTTTTGCATGAAATGTCCAGCCAGGTACTGGGAGCTCACGTCCCTTCTCCTGGGTGGTTGTGCATATTTAGGCAGCTCCTTTAAAGCCCCCTCATTTGGTCTGGGCAGGGGCTGGGGAGTGCCCGCCCCAGGCTCACAGGGAGGAAAATTCCAAGCACTTCCCCAAGACAGTGACGGCTGGTGCCAGCGATTCTCAATCCCTACTGCATGACTGTCAAAGGCAGCCAGGGCTAGGAACCACTTCTCTATCCCAATAATAAATCCCGCTGAATGGCGGAAGGGGAGCCCATTAGGCCTGATGAAGGCCCATGAGGAGCTGGAGTCTCGCTTTATAAAGTGGGGGAGGAGACTGGTGCCCTTAGCTTTAGGTCTCTGGTCACACTTTGAAGGTACCAGAAGAGTTCCCATTCAACGTGCTAGTACAAGTGCTTTGCAAACTTGTCTTAGCTGCAGAGCCCTTCTCTAAATGAAACCTTGCCAGAGCCTCACAGGTCACACAATCTGGGAAATCTGGGGAAGCACAGGTGAGCCTGGAGCTGGGTCCGGAGCTTTGCCAGTAGTCTTGGGACCTGCCCTGCATAAGAAATCCCTCAGGTCCCTCTGGCTCCCTCTGTGAACCTTGTTGCTGTGTGAGAGTGGAGAGATGGGTGGAGGAGACGGGGATGGAGCCAGGGGCAGCGACAGAGGCCAGGGCAGCCCCAGAGGGTGCAAGGCAGAGGGAAGCAGGTTCAGGTGGGGGCCTGGCCAAGAAAGGCTGTCCCTAGGCTTGAGCCCCCAGAAGTGTGTGCTCCTCCCCTGTGCCCCTGACTAGGGGGAAGAAGAGCCGTCATGGCCTCCGGACCTGCAGCCACCACCCCTGCCAGGGAAGCATGAGGACAGGCAGCAGGACAAGTCCAGTGGGGATGACAGGCCCACCACAGAGCCCCTCTTTAAGGTCCTGGACACACCTCTGAGTGAGGGTGATGAGCCCACAACACTGCCGGCCCAGCTGGACCACGGGCACAGCGTGCAGATGGAAGGCTACCTGGGCCGAAAGCATGACCTGGAGGGGCCCAACAAGAAGGCGTCCAACAGGTGTGTGGGGAGGGCAGGCCCAGGTGCAGTGAGATTGGTCAGGGGCACCCCAGGGCCAGCCTGGGGACTGCTGGGCATGACGGGAAAAGCTTGTCTCAGTTCTGTCATGGCAGCACTGCATACACATACTCAACCTCTGTTTCCCCATTTGCAGAATGAGAACACTGACACTCACAGGCCTGGCCCTGAGTAGGCCTTGGTGGACAAAGGATGGCCCAGCTATGCCAGGGCTTAACCAAGCCCCACTTACACTGATCTGGCCCCTGGCATCCTCTGCTGTAAAGTGGGAGGAGACTGGGGTAGGGGCATGGCCTAGATGCACTGGATTTGTGCAAATCTGTTTCTTTACAAAGAACTGAGACAGTACACTGGGCACGTATCATTAAAACAAAAATCACAATAATCATCAAAACCAAACCCTGTTCAGCTCAGTTCACAGTTCTGCAGTGAGAATCAAATATCTCATGAATGTAGAAATACTTCAGAAACTTAAGTTTACAGTTTGTCTTAAGACTCTATAATTATTTTTCTAGAAATGTATCTCAAGGTAAGAGCAGAATTACAGATAAATATTTATAAATAAGAATGTTCATTGCATTGCTATTTAAATTGTATAAATTTTCCAGTGGTATAAGGTCCATCAATAAAGGTATTGTGTGTATGTGTGATGGGAAACCATTTTCTTTAAAACTATTTTTAAGTAATTTTTGAAGATACAGGAGTGATCAAAATATACAGTGTGCTCGGCGTGGTAGAGCACACCTGTAATCCCAGGACTTGGGAGGCTGAGGCAGGAGGACTGCCACAAGTTTGAAGCCAGCCTGGGCTATGTAGTGAGTTCAAGGCCAGCCTGAACTACAAAGTGAGACCCTGTCTCAAAAAAAAAAAAAAAAAATTAAAAATGTATTACAGCAAAAGATACATTACCATTAATCTCCCTCAGTGCTCACTTTGGCAGTACATAGACCATTAATCCCTCTCAAAACACTCCCCCTTGCTTCAAACACTCCCATCCCATCATTCTTGCCACTTGTTGGAGCAGCTCAGGAAGTCCTCTTTTGCAAGTGTCTTTATGAGGTGTGATCAAAAATACAGTTGAATGCTGCTTCAAAGTGTCATCCACTGGGAAGGCAGGCTAGGAAAAACATCAGGGAGTGTCCTCACCCACATTATTCACCAGACCCGGCACCATGTGACTTCTTCCCCGCCAAAGTTGAAATGACCATGAAAGCTAAACATTTTGAATTGATTCAGAACATTGAGGCAGCCACCACAGCACAACTAGAGACATGAAAGAGTCTCATATAAAATAATACTCATAGTAGTAAGTTTGAAAGCAGTCTACACTATATTTCAGTTGGTAGCACTTGCCTCTAATCCCAGTTACTTGGAAGGCTGAGGCAGGATGATCTCAAGTTCAAAGGCAGCCTGGACAACTTGGCAACTTAGACTCTCAAAATAAAAGTAAATAAAATGTATCTCAGTGATAGAGTATCCCCCTGGGTTTAAATCCCCAGTACTGTAAAAAAAATTTTTAAACCAAAAAAAAAAAAGCAAGATATATAATGCAGAACTGTCGGTGTAGCTCAATGGTAGAGCATAGGGTGTGCATGCCCAAGGCCCTGGGTTTGACAGCAAGCGCGCGCGCACACACACACACGCACACACACGCACTGAATATACAGTGTAATCTGACGTTGGCTATGTGCAGAGAAAAAAGTGAAATTACATGCAGATTATTTTTGCACCCTCCCCTCTTTCCAGTACTGGGGATTGAACCCAGGGCTTCTAAAATTTTTCCATGTTGAGACAGAGGCTTGTTAAATCATTAAGTTGCCCAGGCTGGGCTCAAACTTATGACCCTCCTACTACAGCCTCCCAGAGTGCTAGGATTAGAGGTATGAGCTGCCCACACCTAGCTTTAAACAACAAAAATCTGTTACTCTTTGTGAGGTCAAAAATGAAACAATAAAAACAAACAGGAATAAAGCTGCAGGAACTGACTGGGGAGCCCTTGACGGGACCACGGGACCCGCCTGTGTCCCTCTCGCAGGTCCTGGAACAACCTCTACTGCGTGCTCAGGAACAGTGAGCTGACCTTCTACAAGGACACCAAGAACCTGGCTCTGGGGGTGCCCTACCACGGGGAGGAGCCCCTGGCCCTGCGACATGCCATCTGCGAGGTCGCTGTCAGCTACAAAAAGAAGAAGCACGTCTTCAAGCTGAGGTGAGGCTTCCTGCCCTGGCCCTTGGTGCCGCAGGCTGAGGGCCTCACTTGGCACCGTGGTCAGGCAGGCCACGCAAGGGGACCAGTTCCCGGCCGAGCTGCTGCTCTTTCAAACCTGCAGCCTCTGATGTCTCAGAAAGTGCTGTGCTGTGCTGGCTCAAGGGGCCTGGGTATCAGGCTTGGGACAACTGGGTCCCAGCCCGCCCTCTGCCAGGTAAAGGTCCCATGACCGGAAACCCTTTGTCCTCCTAGGCTGAGCAATGGCAGTCAGTGGCTCTTCCACGGCAAGGACGAGGTAAGTGCAGGGGCCCAGCCCGACACAGGGGCAGGTGGAGACCCCGCCCGGGGTGGTGCTGACTCTGCAGCCCCACAGGAGGAGATGCTGTCCTGGCTGCAGAGCATGAGCACAGCCATCACCGAGTCCCAGAGCATCCGCACCAAGGCGCAGAGCCTGCCCCTGCCCTCCCTCGCCGGGCCCGACATCAGCCTCAGCAAGAAGGACAAGGAAAAGAGATTCAGCTTCTTCCCCAAAAAGAAGTAGCAGTGGGCGGCCCTGCGGGTGGGGGCACGCAGGGACCAGGGCCGCTCCCCCGTCCTCCTCCCGCCTACACCTGCCCTGCTCACCACCCTCGGGGCCCTGCTGCCCTACACGCTGCCGCCAGCACGCTCGCCCTCGCCCCGACCCCGCCCCAGCTGGCAGGCTCTCCTTGCCCCCCAAAAGCTGGAGCAGGCTATGGGCCCCTAGAGCTGCCCACTCCCACAGCAAGCCTTGCTGGGGGTTACCGCCCACCTGGCCACAGCCAAGGAAAGGGTAAGGGAAGAGGGACTTGGGCCAGCTGACCCATCCCCTAAGGGCAAGGTGCTGTTAGAGACTGAGGGAACAGGCCTCCCTCCTCAGGCCTGCACTCCCCCGCTGCCTCTCTCCTCACCAGGAGGGCAGAGCCCCCATCCCTGCTTAGTGGGTCCTGGCAGAGTAGCCTCCTGCTGCCCCAGCCTGGTGTAAGGAGGAAGGACCAGCAGCTCTCACACCATTCCTCCAAAAGCCCTGGTTGGAGCATGGGACTCAGGGCTCAGAGGGAAGGAGGGACAGACAGGTCCTGACAATGCTGAAGGCTCTGCCCCTGTGCTGAGCTCTCCGGCCATGCCCAGTAGCAACCAAACCAGCCGTAGTCAGCAGATGCAGGGCCCCCAGGAGCAGTGTAGGCCCCTGATGCAACATGGGTACCCCAGCGCTGGAGTAAAGCATCCCAGAGCCAATGCCTGCTGTGTCCTGCCTGTCTGCAGCCGCTCCCACCTAGGGGTACTAACTGGGCAGAGAGCAGAGTTACCACCTGGCGTGACACATGCAGCCACACCTAGGTATCGCCATCATGACACATCTACCCCTGGACAGCTGGGATTGATGCTGGGGCCAGAGCCACGAGGGTGTAACCCTTCTTGATCAGCTCCTGAAGGCCTGGCCTGGGTCCTGGGGGTCACATACAGAGGTCACCAAACATCTACCACCCTCGAGAACCAAAAGGGATGCTTCAGTCTGTCCCCAGGGAGAGATGTACCCAAGCTTCTGGAAAGGCGGGCCACTGGGCCCCTTAGTGCTGACCAGGGGTCCATGAGGACTTTCCCCACCACTGTACTCTGAAAGCAATATAGCTTCAGTGATCTTCACTGGGCCATAGCCAAGAGGGGCCATGTTGGGGGCAGCAGGTGTGTTCTCTGAGGGAGGCCATAGGGTCCCTAGGGCCCACAGCCACTATTTCTGTGGCCTTCCCCATGGGAAGGAGTCTTGGCTGTGTGGAGACGAATCTGGTGAGGCTCAAGAAGCCACAGGGGGAGGCACCCGGAGTTATAGGCCTCCCAGGATCCCTAACCACTGTCAAGTGACACCAGCTCCAGCAACAGGAAGCACAGGAGGGAAGGTGGCTAGTCGGGCCTGACATCCCCAGATCAGGTGTTTTACCTCCATACCAGGGTCTTCATTTGGCCTTGACTCTAGGACCCTGTAGCCCTCTCCTTCTACAGGGAACCCAGTTTGTATCATTCACCAGCCTTTCTCCAGCCAGGGAAACCAAGACAAAAGGCAGGTAGGTGACTGCACTCACCTGTGCATTCAAGAGCATGTCCACCTCTAGGGCAGACCGCAGGCTGCTTGCTGAAGGGTGGAAGGTCCCAAGCAGCTCTCGGCTGTTCCCTTGGGCCAGTCTTTAGGGAGCCAAGTTACGAGGGCCCACCCTCTCCCCTCCACGGGGCCCAGTAGCACCTAAAGTGAGGCACTTCCAGCAGGTGACTCCACAGAGCCTAGAAATTGGGCTCCAATGGAAGAGCTAGGATTTCACCACCCCAAGTCCCCCAGATTGGGCAAGGGCAGCCAGCTGCATGTGACCCATCATCTCCCGCCGAGCGCCCCACGCATCCACCCACGTCACCCAGGCCCCAAGACACTCAACCAACTGGACTGACACTGCAGGCGCCCACCTTCAGGAGACCCTGTGCCACTCTAGGGCTAGGCTCTCCTGGTGCCCTGGCACGGTATCTCTTCCTTCCTTCCCTCCCTCCCTCCCTCCCTCCCTCCCTCCTTCCTTCCTTCCTTCCCTCCTTCCTTCCTTCCTCCCCCCCCCTACATTTTCTACTTTGCAGTCTTTTCCTTACAGTATTCCTAAACTAGGTTGGCACAGCTCCAGTCCACACCAGCACAACTGGCTTCCTCCTGGGAGCAGTCTAGAGGAAGCTCTTCCAGGCGTGGTCGGGCAGTCCTGCTCCCCTCTCTCCTTCCCTTTGTCTGACTCTGGCTGAGGGCAGAACTGGAGGCACCTGGGGCTCCCAGCCCCACCTACCTCCACTAGTAGTAACAAACAGGAGGCCTGCATTGGGCTCAGCTGCCCCTCTGCTCCACTCCAGTCTATGAGCGCAGCCAGGTCCTCTCGGCTGATCCTGGGTCCCCTTCCTCTGTCAGTGGGAGGAGGCAGAGATTCAGAGGAGGATGCGGCCAGCAGGCCACATAGCTTGGTCCCTTGGTCAAGCAAGCTCAGGGAGCACACAAAAGAAGTGACCACCAAGGAATGCAATCCTGTTGCACAGACCATGTTCATCTGGGCTGGCCCTGGGGCCGGCTGGGCCTTGTCCTCCACCTGCTCAAATGTGCTTCCACCAACCAGAGGACACTCATTTACTAGTTTTTCTAATAAATCAATAATGCTCTACTTTTGTGTTTCTTATTTGAGTAGGCTTCTTTCCCTTTAAACAGGGTCTCGGAGGCCTGGCACCATCAGACTGAGGGTCAGCCAGGCTGGCTTGTTCCCAGCCGACCCCCACCTGAGCCCCGAGACATGATCATCTGCTTTGCATTCCGTCAACCTGAAGGCCCATGGCGGGGCAAAATCACTGCCAAACAAGATCAGTCCAGGCCCTTCCAGGGCGCTCCGGACTGAGACCCCAGCCCTCAGTCTGTGCCTGGGGACACATCTGAAGAGGGGCAGTTTCATGTGGCCTGGGAGGATAAATCATCGGCACTGCCTGTCTTCAAAAGGTTCCCGGATGACTCTAAGGGGCAGCCAGTGAAAATGCTGCCCTGTCCCACGGTCCCCAGACATATCAGATGGCTGTGGGATGGCACAGGGAGAGGGCTGGTCAGCTACAACTCCCTAGCCCCACCCCTGAAGAGTGATGGGGGTTGAGAAGCAAACGCTCCTCTATGAACGAGGAAAGGGCAAGAACTGCAGGGACTCAGCTGACTGGTGGCGAGGCTGGGACACGAATTTGGGTCACCTGTCCACTGCACTTGTGGTACCCAGCACTGCATCCCGGGACTGGCCTTGGTAGGAGCTGGGGTGTTCTCAGTGCCTGTGGAAGTGACCACAGAAGACACAGGACAAAGCTGGGCATGATAGTGCCTGCCTGTAATTCCAGCACTTGGGAGGCTGAGGCAGGAGGATCTTGAGTTTTAGGCTAGCCTGAGGTATATGGTGAGTTCAAAGCCAGCCTAAACCACAGAGGGAGACCTTGTCTCAAAAAAGCAGGGCAGCTGGTAGAACATGGGCTAGCTCTGCCACGCTCCTGCTGCACAAGGGACTGCCACTCACCTCCAATCTCCCCTTGACTTTGTGAGGCTCAGTGGACATGTTCAGACATCCTCCTAGGTCAGAAGACAGAGGCCCCATCCCTGCAGACCTGCTGGAAGACTTTTCAGAGCACTCTACCAGCTGGGCCCTGCAGCCCCTCCCTTCCTGGCAACAGGAACAAACGGGGCAAAATGAGGCTGATTTTCCATGGAGAAAGCAGAAAATCCAATGAGAGAGAGAGAGGCATTGCTGGCATTTTCTCCCTCATAGTACTGAGGATTGAACCCCAGGGGTGCTATAAGGGGTAATCCAAATATACAATGAATGTTTAATTTTTGAAAATTACAATAAAAGTCACATTACTATTTATCCCTCTCAAAAGGCTGCCCTTTGCTTCAAATACACACCCCATCATCCTTGCCACTTTCTGAAGCAGTTCTAGAAGTCCTCTTTCATGAGTGTCTTTACAATGTGTGATCAAAAGTACAGTGAATGAGGGCCGGGGATTTAGCTCAGTGGTTCCACTGCCTGCCCCGCAAGCGCAAAGACCTGAGTTCTATCCCTGGTACCAAAAAAAAAAAAAAAAAAGATACAGTGAATGCTTGGCCAAGTGCCATCCAGTGGGAAAGTGGCTCATAAAAACATCACAGTGTGTCTTCATCCACCTTATGCACTGGTTCTGGCACACTGTGCAACTTCTGGCTTCCCCAAAGTCAAAATGACCATTAAAGGTATAGACTTTGAATTGATTCAGGACATCGAGGCAACCCAGCAGTAGGACTAAGATGCTCATGAAGGAGGATTTCCAGAACTGCTTCAGAAAGTGGCAAGAAGGATGAGGTGAGCTTGAAGGGAGGTGGAGTATCGGAGGATTAACAACAATGTGTCTTTTACTGTAATAAATTTTTTAAATGTCTTTTAACATCACAGTATTCTACGATCACACCCTATACATGCCCAGCCTTTTTATCTTTTATTTTGAGACAGGGTCTTCCTAAACTGTCCAAGCTGGCACCCTGCAGACTTCTGTTTCCTGAGCCCGGATGACGAATGAGTGTAGAACACCTTACTTCCCAAGACACCCCTAGCCCTCGAGTGACACCCCCCCCCCGCCCAGTAAGGAGGCCACACACAGGTCAGTTGGTCAGCAGTGGTTATTGCACCATTGGCAAATAATGAAATGTGTGTACATGAGCGACAACAGCAGGGTCAGCAACAACCCTCCAAAGTACCTGCACTAAGTCCATTCCATTCTTCACAGGAGGGGATAAACAACAGGAGGACACACAATCACTCACACACACACACACACCACAGGATGGAAAGTAATAAATTATTGGCCTCATTTCTGCCTGAGTCCTAAGAAAAGGCACAAAGAGCAAAGCCTGCCCAGGCTGCTTCCTGGCTCTCCCCCAGGTCCTCCGCCTGGCAGTGAGCAGCCAAAGGTGGAGGCCTGAGCAGTGCTTCCTCTCCCTGGCCAAGGTGAACTTAAATACCTGGTTTCTTACCAGAGAACTATGTACAAGGGAGATGGCCACGGCAGCTTTGGGGGGTGGGGGGATGGCTCATCTGGGCCTGAGAAAAGTTGTCACAAGCCCCAGGGGGCACCAGGCACAGGGGAGGCCACATGCTCACTCTAGAGCTCTCTTCCAGGGCAGGGGAGGGACCAGTTTTTGTGGACAGGGGGGGCGGGGGGTGGGGGTGTCTTCTCCATCCCAACATGGCTCCTCCCCCACAGGAGCCAGTCAACCCACAGAGTTCAAAGCCTGGAATTTTTCTCTCAGGTTTCTCACTCGGCCCTGCTTGCTTGGGCCTTCTGAGTCCCTGGGACCTCTTTCCTTCAGCCAGTGCTCTGAAGACTCCTGGGAATCTTGGCCCTGTCCCTCCATGGCCTCTGGTGAACCTGGTCCCTGCGTGCCACCCTCCTCCTCGGGCCCCACAGTGGGGCTGGGAAGTGGCCTCTTCTCAAGGACAATCACCCGCTGGTTACTGTCCAGGGTGAGGTCTGCAGTGACAAATAGGGCTTCGCCTCCATTCAGTCCACTTTGGGTCGGCGACCCAGGAGACGGGGGCTGGGCAGCCTCTCCACCTCCCTGGCTGCTCTTGGTGCTCAGGCTGCAGCAGCGGCCCACCCTGCCCGACACGGGAGGCTCCATCATGTTCTCAGGCACTGAGCGACTCCGGTTGACTGGTGGGGCACGAGGCCGGCTACCCTCGGTCTGAGCAGCCAGGTCATGGGCGTACTTGGAGCACAGCTCTCGGACATCAGGCCAGTGGAAGGTCTCGGTGTCAAAGGGGCTGAGCCGGGCTCCTGGCGAGGTGGTCTTTGCACTGGCTGCAGAGGGGCTGAAGGAGAAGCGTCGAGGCGATGTCTCCCCAGCAGAGGGGGGTTTGAGGGGGCTGTGCTCCCGGGCCACCAACTGCTCATAGCTGAGGAGAGACAGCACAGGCTTCCTCTGGCCTGCGAGGAGAGAAGAGGCCAGCTGCATCACTGTGCAGGAGGCGCAGCCAGGGACAGAGGCCTCCATCTACCTCCTTAGCCTCAAGCTCCAGGGAAAGCTAGGGGCTAGGGTTTTGCATGTGAAGGAAGAGAAATCCAATTTACCACCTACTGTCCCTCTGTCAAAGGGGGATGGGAAGAAGGAAGAAAAGGAAGTGAGGGAAAGGGGCAAGGGATCAAAGGCAGTGATGAGAGGCTTTCTGTCTTCCCAGTTCCCTCTGCTCCAGAGGGAAGGCTAGGGGAGGGCACTGAAGGGCTCCAAGGAGTACAGGGTTGGCCTCGGGGTGCCAGACTGGCTGCCAGGGCTTACACCTGTGGTACACGGGCTCTGCCCCTCTTTGGTGTGACCTTATTTTTTCGGTTTGTTTTTTCTAAACTAGTGCTCTACTGCTGAGCTATACCCCTATTCTTGGCACAACCTCTTTGGAAGTCACCTCCCCCAGTGGCACTGGCTACTAACTGGCTTTTTCACCTCTGGACTCGCTGTTCCCCCATACCTTTGCCACTGGACAGCTCTGCCGCCTCCTCCTGCAGGCAGGGAACAGTGGAGCTCTTCCTGTCCATATCTGGAGCTGCATTCTCCCACTGCAGTGGCGGCCTGGCAGGCACTGCCTTGATGCTCTTGATCCGGAGGCTGTACTGGCGGGCCAGCTGGTAGACTTTGTTCTTGACACGCTCGCTCACCTGGCTGTCCATCACATGCGACAGCTGCATGATGCGCGGGTGCAGTGGGGTAACCAGCTCCCCCTGGTCCCCGCTGCTCAGCTCCTTCACCAGCTCTTTCAGCTCCTGGGCCAAGTGGGCCCGGCTGGGCAGCTCGGTGGGTGAGGCACTTTCCGGAGAGGCGGTAGCCGACTCCTCGGTAATGGCCCCGAGCTCATGCTCCTCCAGGATAAATAGTGGCTCCTGTAGGTCAAAGCCGTTGGCCTGAGCCTGGCCCAGTCCCATCTGGGGGCTTCGCTCAGCAGACTCCATTCTCTCCCACATCTTCACAATTTCCGACGACGGGCGGAACTCAGCATCTGTGATAGGAGCTGGGTCCTCTATGACCGCCTGGCTGGATCCTGGGAGGTCAAACAAGGTCCATGGTGCCACCCGGGAGCCCCCCTGTCTCTTGTACCCCACCGGAGCTGCCGGCTTCACGTCTGGCCCCGGAAGGCTGTTGATCCTGGAAACAGAGCTCCTCACCAGTCCTTTGGGGATATAGGAAAGACTCTCCCGGCGCCGCACACTGAAGCCTGCATCGTGATGCTCTGCGTTCTCATAGTAACTCTTAATTTTATCCAGCAACAGGCGATCTCGGGTGGAGAGTGCTGAGTCCTTGCAGGAAGATCTGCTGGGCTCCACTGGGCAGCCTACATCTGCGGACTTGGTCCTGTTGGCACAAGAGCCACTCTCTGTGGCCAGCCCCGTGCTGATGCCCACTTCCAGGGCAGGCTGGGAGCTGAGTAAGTCCACTGTGCTGCCCCACTGGGCCAGGCCCTTCTCACTGCCCTCCAGACTGAGCACGCTGCTGCTCCGGCTGACCAGCCGTGGCGTCCCAAAGCCACTAGACTTGCCACTGCCATCCTCCATGGTCAGACTGCTGCGCCGAGAGAAGCTGCTGGCAAACCGCTCAGCAATGACACTGGCCTGGTCTAGCACAGAGGGTGGCAAGAGGCTTTCGGGCTCCTGGGCTGGCCCCATCTCTTCCTCCTCCTCACTGCTCAGGGCCTTAAGGTCCTCGGTGCTCTCGGCCACCATGAAGCCCACCATGTCCAGTGGGTGGTCCATCCCCAGCAGCTCCTGGTGAGTGTCAGCTCCTGTTTCTGGGACTTCAGGTGGCTCTGTGTCTGAAGGCATCTCCTCGGTGTCAGGACCTTCCATGACAGCAAAGACCTCCTGCTCGGCCCCAGGACCAGGGTCTGCTTCAGCCTAGACAGCAGAGAGAGCTCATGTGAGTAAAAGCCTCCTTCATGAGACCTGGGGATGAGGAAAGCACAGCTGGCTCACAGCCCAGAGAGAAGGCCTGCAGTTTAGGACCAAAGACAAGCAAGAAAAGAGACTCAAAAGTAAGGCGACAGGTTCTGAGGGAGAAGGAAATGCTCATGTCCTTTAGTCACCCTGCAGCTGGGGTGCTGAGCCCATGACCTCATACCCTAGGAAAACACTAGGAACACAGAAGGATGGTGGTACCTCTAGGTGGCAGCCTGCCTAGGAACCATCGGCACGTGGGAGCACAGGACACCAGGCCTAGCGCTATCTCGGTTCCCAGAGAATGGCTCTCACAAGCACCTCCAGGGCCATGGCACCGGGATGCCCCTGCCAGATGGCAAGGCAGCTTCTGAAAGCCCTAGAGGCTGCCCATTCAGGGTCCTGGGGCACAAACCCAGGCCTAGCTGCCTGAGAAGGTATCACAACTTCCCCGAGGGACCAGAGCCCTTGTGGGAGCAGGATCCAAGGGGCAACATAGTATGTGCTGTCACCATCAGAAGTCAGGACAGAAAAACCAGCTCCGGCCAGCCAGCCTCTCCATCCGTGGGCGCCACAGATGGCAAGGAAGGGAGCATGTTTGAGAATTTCCTCTTGACCACCTCAGAGGTAATTTGAGCCATTAACTGGCTGGCACAGTTTTCCAGAGAGGTGTTTAGGGAAAAGAACGAACCCTCTATAAATTCTGAGGAATCAGACCTGATTACATTAGTTCTAGTCCAAAATCTGCAGTGCGGAACCACGAGTTAGGCCTGCACCGTCCAACACAGTAGCTACCAGCCACATCTGGCATTCTGAGCAACTCAAACGTGGCCAGTTCAAAACCAGACCTGCTAGGCAAGTAGAATATACATCAGATCTCAAAGACTTTGTATAAAAGGAGGGATAAAATGTCAATAAGTTTTATATTGATTACATGCTACAATAATATTTTGGACCTATTAGATTAAATAAAATGTACTACTAGAATTAATTTCACCTGTTTCTTTTTAATTTTTTTTAAACATGGCCACCAGAAAATGTATATTACACATGGGCTTGCATTCCAGTATTATGGGACAACGCCACTTGCTATGCTCTGAATGGTGTCCCCCGCAAAATTCATGTTAGAACCTAATATCCAGACTGATAGGATTAAGCAGAGGGGCCCTTGGGGAAGTGATTTAAGTCACAAAGGCTTCACCTTCACAGATGGGATTAGTGCCTTCTAAAAAAAGCATGGCTGGTGCTTTCATTTGGGACTTCTCAGCCTCCAGGACTATGAGCAATATTTAAGCACACAATCTCAGTTATAGCAGCGCCAACAGACTAGAACACCACACTATATTCCTACTCAGTGTCCTCTAGATTCTCAGACTTGTCCTGCCTGGGACACCCACCCTGGGGTCTGGCCTTTTCCTTGTAATTTAGGGAAAGCAAAAGATTCAACTCCATGCATCCCACAGATAGCACGGTGCAGCAGGAAGAGGAGAGGGGCCCTCTGAGTCAGAGACCCAGGACTGATTTCAGCTCTGCCCTCAGTGCCAGGGCCACCACTTAACCTCTCAGAGCCTCTTTTTCCTTCTAGAGATGTTGCAGGGAGCAGAAGAAAGAGATAAAACACTAGACATGCAGGAGGTGTCCAATGGATAGTGACACCCTTCTGCTCTGACAGGTGGCTGCAGGCATGACTTAAAAGTCCGGCCGGCTGGCAGAGATGGGGCCTTGTGCCCTGTCCAAGGTACCCTGGCTGAGGGGCATAAAACCTGGTTTACTTCCACTAGCTGTGCCCCTTGGCATGGGCCTGCATCTGGCCCAAGGAAGGAACTCCTCTTTTTAATTCAAGGAAAGGAGATATCTACCCACTAAACTACGCACCCCTAGGCTGCAAAGGCTTCCTGAAGGGGCAAGAGTCCTGGTGGTAGGAAACCCCTGTCCTCAGTGGAACACCCAGGCCTGTGAGACCTGCCTACAGACCTGGACACTGGGCCCCAGCTGCCCCACATTAACTTCATCCTGCCTGCCAGCCACTCACCTCTGGCAGGGAGGAGACAGACTCGAAGCTCATGTGCTTCTCACCACTGGTTGATCTGTTGCTGGGCGTTCTGCAGCTCTTGGGGCCTTCAGACTCCCGGCGTCCCTTCCCCTGCAGCAAGGAGAGGGCAGCTGTCAACTCCAGGACAATCAGGAGCTGCCCCTTTCTGCATGGGTAGCACCTCCCGCACCCAAGGTCTGCACTGAGCCAGCCCTGGACCCAAGCCATTCCAGTGCAAGCTGAACAGCCAGCCTGGGCTACAGGAATCCTCACAGTGTGAGAAGCCCAGCCAGCCCTTCCTTCCGGCCCAGCAGATGAGCTCCCTCCTAGCCCCACTGTTGCTGGTTCTGCCTTGTCCACTGCCCCCGCCCCACTTGTCCTCCTCAGGGGTGGTGTACTAGTTAGTGCCCAGTCCTGGGAGACTACATGCCAGGGGCTCACCAGGGCATGACAGAGAGTGAGGGGTTAAGAAGTGCTGACAGGAGTGAAGGAGCAGGCAGGGTGGGAGGGGGCAGGAGGGGACTCTTGGATGGGCATGCACAGGCCAGGGAACATGCAAGGAGGAGGGAAGATCAAAGAAACACCTCACCATAGCACCCCGGGAGAAAAGTAAAGCGTTGGCCCGATAGTGCCAGCAGTGGAGGGCGGCCAGCAGGGAGCTGGCAAAGTCAGCTACCTGCTCCGCCACTGCCAGACTCTCTTCCACCACCTCCTCCTCCTCCGAGCCTAGGGGCTCTGGCATGGCCCCTTTCTCGCTGCTTTCATGCCTTTCCAGGTCCTCCAGAGAGACTGGGAAGGCCTGTTCCTCCTCCTCCTCCTCCTCCTCCTCCTCC